TGATTAAGTAACAGATATAAGAAAATAAATTACCAGCGTAATATTTCCCCTTTTTGCTAACTCTGCTTCTGGAGCCGGCCGGCGCATCCAAGATGTGACAAACAAGGGAAAAAATAAACAAACTGTGAGTATGCCTGTGCAACGTCACGGCATACTCACAGTTGCCATACACGTTATTTATGGTGGAAAAAGAGTATTAGACACAAAAACATAAGGAAATGACCCTTTAACACTTGAAATACTGAGCACAAAATAACAAAAACATGCTGCTGTGTTTTCTAGAATCTTCAGCAGCAGCATGCAGCCGTGGTTGTGTTGCATCAGTTCATGCCAGCACAGTGATAGGAGGCTCAGGTTCTTTTCTAGCACCAATATAAACATCAGTTCAGTTAAGACTCTATGTACATGTGTCTTAGATCACTTGTCAGACTCAGTCATTCTCAGGAAGCACAAACAGACACCAGAGTGGAGCTTTTGGTAGGATTTAGCAGTGCACGGATTACTCTGTGTTCTACACGTTCTTATCACTGCCTGACATGTGGGTACATTTCTGCAGACAAATATATGAGTGGAACCACAGGTGACAGACAGAGCAGTGCCTTCCCATCGGTTACATCACAGTGTGTTTTATTGATATAATCATCTATTAGGTTATCTGTAAAATGGGATCCGGGGTACTTCATTAATTACTGGAAGTGCACTTCCACTCAATCTGTTATTACATCACTGTCAGTGGCGCTGGATCTGATGTCAAAGTTAGCACCATATTGGTAGCATATAAGCAGGGCCAGGGTTGCAGGGTCATACTCCAACTACAGACTAAGCTGTGACAGCGTTTTAATGTCAACAGAAACTCACCGTGAGTGTGTCCTGTCGGATCTTGACTTCTTTGGCGCCGAGTGTTGCTCCCTTGCTGCTGAAGATCCCTGAGAGCAGTTCATTCTCTTTGGACAGCCAGGCCTCAAACTCCCTCCTCCTGGATCTGTACTCTCCTGTGCCCCCCTAAAAAAGACCCCAAACAACTCATAAAACTCTTGCACAACACATCCTAACACTATCAACCAGTAAGCTGTCACTTTGCGCCCTGTTTCAGATTTGGAGTGGCGATACTTGGCACATGTATGGACTGTGAGGAAGGTCGTCTGTCACCAGATGTCCGTGCTTCTTGGTTTTCCTATTGATTTTATTTCTTCTGCCACACAAGAGGAGTAAAATGGGTGATTACAGCCATTCAGAGCCCACCGATATCCTACAACTAAAGCCGGGCTCAGACTACAGGAGTTAGAAAAATCCCAACCGATGTTGAAATTGGGTTGCATTACACACATAAGATGTTCTTCTCTCAAATCTTAAACGTACAGGGTTTGGAAATAATTGCACATCACACACTACGGGATATCATTAAGATTATTGTGCCAGAGGGAGCAACGTCGCCATTTTGGGAGGTCCTTTCATTCATGTCCGTCTCATTGGAGCAGACTTGTCTCTCTCATGACATAATCATAACAGTTATCATCCAGATCCTCCTAAATATCAAACATGCTTTTTGGGGCAGCTGCGACTGGACTGCAAATGGTTCAGGGGGTTTAAGGCTGGATCTGTAAAGCCGTCACGTTACCAGATAACCTGGTCCCGGACTGGACTTGTGCTCTGATTATCAGGAGGGGGGAATCAGGGTTTAACCAGCCCAAAACTCCTGTAGTCTGAGCCAGGCTTAAAACTGGAAAGATACAGAAAGGTGACATGGGATTCAGCCTCGACAGGCAGCCAGGGGGTATATTTTTTATGGAACATTTCTTATTAACTTTTTATCCCCATAGCCAATTATACATGACTTGAGGTTGGATATTTCTAACACAGGGACAAAAATAAATCCTTCCTGTTGAGTTATCAGTACAAACAATGAACCACTGTGCTGGTTCATCACATTCTGGTTTGTTGAGTAAAAGACTAATGGGAGAGAAGTTGACTACGAGGCCTAGAGAGCGTTGTCGTCATTAAGTACTTTCAGGAGCTTCAATCAGTTCACTGGATCAGTTTGGGGTGAATTGAGTGTTTCAGTTACGGTATTTTGCACAACATAGAGGAAGGAAAGACACAACCCTTTAGTATTCCTGTGTGTCTGAGTGGAGGAAAATTTACTTCTTCACTGAACGTAAACTATGAAATTAAATGTACAGAGAAGAACGGTCCAGATTGCTACTCTACAAATTGAACCAAGGGGCGGGAAGTATGAACCCTGCACAACCATACCACTGGGTGTTGAGTTGGTGTTGTTGATGGCTTGGTCGGGTCCCTTCTGAACAGCATGAACGCTCCTCCTCCTGCCTCCACGCTGCCTTCACCAGAGCTCATTCTTAGCCCCTCACTATAGCTGACCTTTGAGGTTAGCGATGTTCCCTCTCTGTCTCCAGCCAAGATGCTGCTGCCGCCCCCTGTTGATTTAACTCTGTCAAGGCTTTCAGTGGAACCTTTCTGGCCTGCTCTGCTGTGAATTCTCCAAGCGGAGGAATCAACTTGGTCTCCTTTAAAGGAGAGTCCGCTGTCCTCGCCCGTCCTTGATGGGCTCACGTGTTTATCGTCTTGTCCGGCCAGAATGAGATGACTTTCACCGTGGCCCTGGATCCGACCACCCTGCCCAGTCGTCACCCCCTCTGCCGCCTCTCCCTCCAGGCTCCTTCCCCCCCCTCCAGACCCAGAGCCAGCCAAGGCTCCGTACATCCCAGCTGGCTTGTCTCGTTGTCGGCCTCTCTGGCTCATGGAGCCTCCTGCCCTGCCCTGACTGGCTCCCTCCCCGAGACTGAGCTCTGTTGTCAGGGATGCGCTGTCTGCAGACAGGCCTCCAACACTCCATGACTCAGACTGTGTCTGCTCTGTGGAACTGTTCAGCAGCCTGGGAGATAAAGAAAGAGACAGGTTAAGTGCCTCCATAACTCACTTCAAAGTCTGACGCGGCACAAACACAAGAAAAGACGCAATGCTCCTCTAATTTCTCTAGCCTTCAACCAGGTTTTATTCTGATATAAAACTTCTAAAGAAGATGGATTTGTTTGTTTATATGCATGCATTAATATTCAGTACAACAACCATTCATTAACACTTCAGTAACTGAGCTTGACTGTTCATTCTGGACCTTAACTAAATGGTAAATTCGACAAGAGAATCTCAACTTGCTTGGTAAACACCAAGTGACCGGAGTTTTGGTAGCTACATGTAATACCAACAGTCAAGAGAGCAATGTGGGCAGAACACTTTGACTGATGAATAAAGTATTGATATGAAACATACCATACATGTATGTTTACAATACAAAAATGTGTCTATGTAATATAATGAATGTAAAACCTTGGCTTGAGAATGATCCATTCCTTAACATTGACTTATTTCTCTTATTCTAATGTCTTGAGCTTTCTGTTTTACATTTAACACCCCGTCACACCTCGTCTCAAACCATAATCTGTGGAAATAACAGCAACAGGTGATAAAAGAATACAAAAAGTATTCCTAGTACCTGTGAAGATTGAGACTCATATTGTACAGGGAAAACCAGGACTCTCGTAGGCGCTTAATGTCTCGCAGAATATGGACCTGTCCCTCCTCTGAGGTCCTCTCCAAAACCCCCTGACCCTGGACCTCCATCTGCTGCAGCTGGAGCTCCTTCTCAGGAAACTCTCCAAGCGCTCTCTGTGGATGAGGACAATGCAGCACGTTAGTAGACGCGGTGGTGAGAAAGAGGAGACCAACAGCTACTGAGAGTGAACTTCATGTGGTGTGACACCTTGCATCCCTGTACATGTGGTTTTCAAAACATGTCCAGAATGACACATGATTCATTATTTTCAGTCACAGCCCATCTTTACTGAATGTGTAATATGTCTGTCTGTGAGTCCAGCTGTTTGTCTATTAACCAAGTAACAGACACAGTCCAGCTCCCAGCTCAGCCGATAGTACACAGTAGATGGCTTCATACACATTATGGGTTTGAGGTCTGGTTTGAAATTAAATCTTTACGGCAACAGTTTCTCAAAATCTCTTCCCAAATAAAATGGAACTACTTGATGTATTTTTGTGGTGCCAATATCTAGCACATGGGTCTCCACCAAGAAGTGTGTGAGCTACCCGTTACTGAGCGGCTCATTAAAGCTTCAAAGCATCTTTTAAAAAAGTCTCAATTTCTATCCAATCAAATTGACAGATTCCTGACACAGAGTGAACATTTGTCAATCAGCTGTCAATTCAACGAGTTTCGTTACTTTCAGGGTTGGATTAATCAGTGACGGAGTAACATTAGGCCATGTGAGCACACTGACAAGTGCACACCAGATTCGACAATGACCACAGAAAATATACTCCATTTTTATCTAATAATGGAGGGTTGTTTTTTTGAATGAATGTAAATGACAGGTGGGAGTCTCATTTGCTGTGTAAGCGTGTTAAAAGTTGTAACACCACTTCATCAAAGTCTTCAGCAACTTCTCATGGGACTTTCTGGCTGCTAGCAGTCTACAAAGATACCAGCCTCTGTTCCCCAAACTGAAGACTGAGGCTTGGTTTAGAGGCACACATCCTAACAAAACACTAAAAGTACTTTGTCTATGGCAAAACTGTAATAAAGGAGATGACTCAAACGTTGATAAAGGACCATAAAGTGAGACACAAATTATGTTTGCTAATGGCCACAGAGAATAAATGTACTCGCTATCACAAATCAGATATGCTGATTTCAGCAGTGTGTGTATCTGGGCGTTCTGGTTGAACTGATAGCAAAAGGGATTCAGGGTTTAATCACATACTTCAGGAACTACACATTCATGTTTAATGCTGACTCAGCTGTGACGATTCAGACAGTCACAGATTGTTGAATGCAGCTTTGCAAATCTCATTCTATCACTGCTGGATAAGAAAGAAGAGACGTATCATTTTCTGTCTGTGGTGAAGTGCACAGCTGTTTAATGGTCAAACACACCCAACCAACAGTGTGGCTTTGCTGGAATGGATGTCTCCTCTCTGGTACACTCCAGGTGTCTGTTTACGGCTGATGAGATGGGTGCTACTTTTTTGATTCCTAAAGAGGAAACTTTTCTGCACACAGAGACAAACATTTGATATCCGTGGAGCAGCTTTAAGAAGTGTGGTGCTCCTGAACAGGATGACAATGCTCTGAGTTAATGAAATGCATTGGTGAAGAATCTGGACCCGCGTTGCTGATAATCGGCAGGTCGTTCAGCGTAACAAAGAACACTGTAATTATAAAGAGTCTCTGAGGTATTCCCATCAACATTCATGGTCAGGCCAGCACTAAGGTCGCTGTGAGCTGCCATTAGTGCTTTTACAGAGAACAATAGATGACAATAATAGGAAATGAAAAGGGGATTTCAATGAATTCATGAGTTTATCCATCATGAACCCCGACACCTGCAGGTCTGGATTTCCACTCTACAAGCAACACTAAAGTGCCTCAAGGCTCCTACTTAACCATGAATCATGCTGCCTGTAGAGAGAAGCAGACTGTCGACCTCTCCTCTCTATCATGAGGAAACTACATGTTATATGGTGTTTGGGTTAGGGCTGCACCAAATGACCATATGGTGGAATATATATATATATATATATATATATATAAATAATATACAGTATATATTTACTTGTGATAAAACAGATATTAAAGTGTACTCAGTTCATGACTCAGACTTGGACAGTACCTAATGCTTGTTACTTTTACTCTGTGACTTGAGAAGTTTATTCATGCCCAAACTGAAACCCTACTATTGACTACCACTTTACTGAAGATGTCTTTTCTGCTGCAATCCCCAACGCCTGTCTCTCTCGCTCGACCACACACTCCCTATGCACTTGGCTGATTGTATTTACTGGACGAACATAACTTTTTACTGGCCACAGGCCATCGGGAAATCCTAATTATAACGTCAAAGGTTCTGTGTGATTGGCCAGAGCCTTAACGGCATGATGCGTATCACACAAAACAGACAGAATGTAATTGAAAACATTGTTACTATATTCAAAGTGCAATATTGCAATCTTTTGTGATGGGTTTATTGCTCAATGCACCGTAATGAAACACACTCGCATGTTGGTCAGGCAGGCACGGCACCGAAGGAATGTTCCGCCGTGGAAATTTGACCCAGGGTTTACTAGCACAGTCATAACACCAGTAATCGTTCAGACGAGTGTTTTGGCTAGTGAAGCACTACAGTTTGAGATGGGGCTATCACTTGAACATTGTTATTATAAATATGTAAATATGACTGCATGCTTTGTGAAACTCATTCTGAAATAAATAACATCACTTTTTTGACACGTAATATTTCGCATTCTGTGTTCATAACACAAAGTCAAAACAAACAAATGACATGACAAACCAATTAATCGCACAGAAAAAAATCAATGTGTAAATGTTACATGTTCCCTACAAAATCCGAGTATTAAAATAAACCCTGAAAAAAATAAAGAGCGATAGATGTGAGGTGCAAGAACACACACACACACACACACACACCTGAGCTTCGTGCTGGCGGCTCTCTACGCTCCACTCCCCTGAGGGGCTGTAGAAGGACTCCAGCTTCTGCTTCATGATCATCAGCCACTTCTCTACGTTCAGCAGGCTGTCGTGGAAGCTCTCATGCTCTGCGATACTCTCCTCGCTCTCGCGCACCTTCACCTGCAAACACAAGAAAGAGGTCAGCTGGTCAGTCAGTGGTCTTGAAAAAAAGCTTGAAAATCCATGCGACACGCTGGCAACATCTGGAACATCTGTCATTATGTAAAATGTAACTTTCCATTCCATTATTGTTTTACAGCTCAACTGCTACGACACCAATATCAATCCTTGGAGTTTGTGTAATTGTTTAATAGTAACATATTAATGTGCTCCGTCACTTTTGACAAAAAATAAGCCCCTTTTCAACCGCAGGAACTTGGGGTATAAGGATGTGATGATCACAATACAATCTGCTCACAATAAGTTTGTCGTGTGCATTTGCATTATCGGGTTGACCTTGATATACTGTATGTGTAACTTGAGAAAGCTGTCTGGCTTCCTTTCATGTAAAGAATGAAAAACAGAGGCTGATTAAAACAATTATCATGTGAGAATGAACAGACTCTGACCATGAAGCAATTGTTTAAAATGATCGATCCTTTATGTATGCAGGGCGACCCTGTGATTACCTTAAATAAGATCGATTGTCCACTAAAAAAACATCTATCTCTGATGCAATCAAAATATTTGCTTCTTAACTAAATCTAAAGTAAAGCCATTCCAGTATGTTTTTGGGCCATTTTAAGTTTTAAGCATATTTTGATGATATAGTTAATCGCAAATGTTTTGGCCAGGATAAACATGACATCGAATTTTCATATCACCCTTTGCTCAGTCGAGTATTATTGTTTTTGCCACAAGATTGAACTATTATCAGCTTGTAAAGTCACCTGCTGCTGTTGGAAACAAGGTGGATGAGAGAGACTGAACCAAAGCAGTAAGGTTTCAAGACTACGAGCTAAAAGATGGTTTATGTGTTGTTTCGTCACAATGAGGGAGCACTTACCCGATACTGCACACAGCCATTTGATCCATTGTTAACATAAATAGATGGATTGGTGCAGCTTTGACTCTCCTGTCTTACCCTGGCTGCCTTGTGCAGGTGTTTCCACTCGGCATAGAGCCTCTCCAACTGAGTCCTGCTGCTCTGACTGGACGAGACCAGAGTCTCCAGCGCTGTGATGTGGGCCTCACAGTCCTCCAGGTCCTTCAGGATCACCTGAGGACACACAGGACACACAGCGTGACGAAGTGTTGGTTCATTTATAAAAAATATATCTAATCTACATATTTAGTATGATATTGCAGTACAGTCTTTCATAATGAATGAATCACTTTGACAACACTAAAAGCAGCAATTACTGTAGGAAATTTAGGTTCAGAAGTGTTTCTTAGTAGGATTTATTGCACCTTAGAGGTGGATAGTAAAATGTTAGCAAGTACTTGGTATGCCATATACAGTATGCTTGTAAAAATATCAAAGTGTTTGAGAAGTCACAAATACTTATCAAATGTATAATATGTTTACAGTATGTTTACCATAGAAGTGTTGAGCCATAAAAGACAATCATTGAATGTATTAAACTGTGAAGAATAGCCAAGGGACAGACAGGGATTTTTAGACAGGCATTCCAGGGACGACCATCGCCACAGCCAGCCGGGGCATAACGGAGGGAGGATCATCAGACCAGCGCCAATGGTCCATCGAGGGCGGTCAGCTGACTGAAGCCAGGAGGTGGAGTCAGCTGGATTTAAGCCAATTGTAACAGAAACGGACATTTTGTGGATGCTTTACGGACTATGAAAGGAAATTCAAAGAAAGAATTCGTTCAGTTCATCACATTTCATCCAGCAGGTAACACACTTCCTGGCTGTGAAGTGTATGGGCTCTTTTCCGCGGATCCTATTTTCATATCGATACTGTAAATATTTCTATAGATTCTGTAAATAGTGTACTTCACTTTGCAATTGTTTTAGCTTCTGTAGTATTAAATACTTTTGATCATAATTTGAGCCGGCTGACTTTTTGGCACGGCTGGAAGACATGCGGCTCTCCCTCAGTTTCGAGAGGTTTCGAACCTAACATTACCTAACTTGTGAGTCGGCTCTTCCACAGACAGAAGATCAAGAAGGCACCAGGCCCAGACGGCCTGAAAGTCTGTGCTGACCAGCTGGCCCCCATCTTCACACAGATCTTCAACCGATCACTGGAGCTCTGTGAAGTCCCCTCATGCTTCAAACGCTCCACGATCATCCCGGTCCCCAACAAATCCTCCATCACAGGATTGAATGACTACAGGCCCGTCGCCCTGACGTCTGTGGTCATGAAATCATT